TTATTATTATTATTATTATTATTATTATTATTATTATTATTATTATTTTGCACTAAAGCAGCTACAGGAGCTTAAACTTTATTTTGATTTTTTAAAATGAATAATCTGGTTTCTGCTAGATATTTCAATACTAATTATTAATGTGCAGAAGTTTTTGAAAGATTACTGAAATCATTCATACCTGCCTTGAATACCTGACAGCTATTTTAAAGATAGTAGCTTTATAGCAGGGGTCTCCAACCTTGGCAACTTTAAGACTTGTGGACTTCAACTCCCAGAATTAGCTGGCTGAGGAATTCTGGGAGTTGAAGTCCACAAGTCTTAAAGTTGCCAAGGTTGGAGACCCCTGTTTTATAGGGTTTTGTTTTGTTTTTTAACTCATTTATAAGCATTTTCTTTGCCAGGTCCAGTGCACGAGACAGTCTATGATTTCTGGAGAATGATATGGCAAGAACAATCAGCCTGCATTGTTATGGTTACAAATTTAGTTGAAGTGGGTCGGGTAAGTATCTCCTTAGAAACGCCAAACCACATTAAAATTTGTAGTTCCATTGCTAAGAAAAACAGAAGCAAAGTGGAGAAGAACAAATGCCAAGCTTTAAGTGACCAATACAGAGCCAAAATTCAATACCTCTGTTTGCAAGTCTGTAATCTGGGCTTTGTGTTGATGGAAAAGAAAAATGTGAATGCAAGTGCATATGAGATTTGAGGATTTTTTCTGGATATCCGTTCATACTCCCACACCATTTGAAGGGTGTGCATCGCTAAATGTCCATGGAGATTCCCAGTCATCTAGGTCATGGTTGTCCCAAAGGTGCTTTTTTTCAGTAGGCAACTGGAATTTCTGGTTTTTCTTTGAAGACATTTCGCTTCTTATCCAAGAAGCTTCTTCAGCTCTGACTAGATGGTGGGGAATGGAAGGATGTATACTCCTTGTAAGGAGTATACCAGCTGTCTGCAAGGAATATACATCGTTCCATTCCCCATCATCCAGTCAGAGCTGAAGAAGCTTCTTGGATGAGAAGTGAAACATCTTCAAAAAAAAACCAGAAAGTCCAGTTGACTCTTGAAAAAAAAAAAAAAACCTTTGGGATTTGAGGCTTTTGTTCCTCTGAAAAAGAATTTCTATAATTCTGTTCATCCTGTTGTGCACTGTTCTGGGTGCACTGCTCACACACATAGATTTTGTGCCTACACATGGATGGCTGGGAAGCACAGAGGTGAAAAAGGACAAAAAAATCACAATCTTGTCTTCCTCTGGTGTGAAAAACAGAAATAGGCTGAACCATCTCAACATAAAGGCGGCTCTAGATTTACAACTGGCGACCAGAATTTCCATTGCTAAGCAAGGTAGTTGTTAAATGAATCGCATTCAATTTTACAACCTTTCCGCTACAGTTGTTAAGTGAATCACTGCAGTTATTCAGTGAGTCACTAAGCGAATCCGGCTTCTCCCATTGACGTTGCTTCTGGGAAGCTGGCTGGGAAGGTTTGCAAATGCATCTGAGTCCAGGAATCTGCAGCCATCATAAATGCATGCTGGTTTGCCAAAAATCACTGGAATTTCGTTCATGTGTTTGTGGGGATGTTGCGCCGGTTGTAACTGTGAGGACTGGTTGTAAGCTTTTTTTTCGGTGCCAAGTGGTTGAACAGTCACTAATTGACTGTCTGTAAATTGAGAACTACCTGTGGCACTACTGAGTTATCTACCTTCTAGAAGCAAATAGAGAATTAGGTAATAAACATTTGATGTAATCAACTGCAGAAAAAGTTGAATAATTCTTTTGATGATATATTTTCCTTTACAATTAAAAGTAAACACAAAATAATTGAGTGTTAAGTAAAAATGGATGGGTGATCTTTAATGATGTGAAAGCAAGGTCATAATATATGAAATAAGAAATATATGGTAATTGCTTATTCCACTCTTATTTTTTTCACCATTTCCCCCCATATTTCCATTTATGAAATACACTCTGCCACTAAATAAAAATAATGATGTGATGTGTATGATCCAGTGATTCTTCTGGTTTCTTTGTTTGAGAAATATTTCTATCATGTTGATCATAGGTTAAGTGCTATAAGTATTGGCCTGATGACACAGAAGTTTATGGGGACTTCAAAGTTGCTTGTGTGGAAGTGGAACCACTTGCAGAATACGTTGTCAGGACATTCACCCTTGAAAGGGTAAATATTTCTGGATTAGATCTTCCTATTATTTAACTGAAAACTGCTGTACATTTAGTTCTTTATGATAACCAGAAAGATTTATCTAACATATTCAAGCCATTCTTTAATCAGCCCATCACTACAGTACTTACAATACCTGAGCTGTAACACACTCATTCTGCTATGCCTAAGCTGTCTAAATCAGGTGTGTCAAACTCACGTCAGGTGCTGGCCACGCCCACACCCAGTTTTCAAAGGGAGGGAAAGTCCCGATATGTCACGTGATGATGACGTGACAACGTGAGTTTGACACCCCTGGTCTAAATTGTTTTCCATTTATACCTCTTGTCGATTTAATTTCCCTCTTATTTTTGTTTCATTGTATAAGCAGCATCTCAAATGTCTATTAATTTTATTATAATAACTTTCTTGGTCGTATTTTAATTTCTTGTTATTTCATAAAAAAACAAAATACTTTGAAGTATTTTGCCATCAGTTCAAACGTGTATCTGAGAATAATGACTGGCATATTCCATATGGTAAATAAACGCAAACAACATGCCATAGTTTAGCAATACCTTCTGTCTATCTTATCTACCTATTATACATACATACAAAGATTCATGCCCTTTGGAACATACATCCCCTCCCTCCCAGGTGAAATCTGCTCCCCCCTACTGACCTACTCTAAGGGCCTGAAAACCTGGCTCTGCCAATTGGCTTGGGGTTCCAATGGGAGACTGCCATACTAGAGGGGGTTGATGGATTAATAACGGATCCTACCTTACCTCCTGCACACCTTATTCCCTCCCTCTCCATCTTTTTACTATAACATATTTTTTTGCTATATATATATTTGTCCTGTTTTATTGGTTTTAACTTGTAAGACACCCAGAGTCGGCTTATGGTGAGATGACAAATAAATTTAATAAATAATAATACATATATACAGACATATTCTGTTCATACATAGAAATATTCATAAAAAAAATTAATATCATCTTTCTTGGATGATAATTTGCTAGGTAACCAGGTTTCAAGTTTTTTCTTGGACATAGTTACATATAATTTAGACCTTTTCTTCAGTTATTTCACTGGTTATCCACACTTACGTATATATCCACACTTACTTAGTCTTCCTTTATATGCTACTTGGTTCCTTATCATTTCAGTACCAAAAAAAAAAAAGAGTTGCATTATAGTCAGATGAATATTGTTCCTATGTTTATAGTCTTGTAATCTTATTTATAGAAAATGGATTATGAATTATAAATGCCTCATTCAGACTTAAAAGGAAGCAAGATTTCTCCACGAGAAGAATTTGGTGATTAAAAATCAACTGAAGCTTGCTTTTTTAGTCCTGCATACATTTTAACCAGTTTAAAACAAAAACTATCACCTTTTTAAAAATTAACCAAAAACTAACTTACTCATGAGATGAAAGAAAAATACTCTTGTTATTATTTTCCATTTTGACAGAGAGGTTACAATGAAATCCGTGAAGTTAAACAGTTCCATTTTACCGGCTGGCCTGATCATGGAGTACCTTACAATGCAACAGGCCTTCTTTCATTTATACGCCGTGTAAAACAATCTAACCCACCAAGTGCCGGGCCTATTGTTGTGCATTGCAGGTGTGTAGAAAAGAGGTAGATGCATTTTCTATCATTCTCAATGTGTGCATGATCTGTCAAGTTTTGTGACGTGTTGTGGTGTGATATGAGGTGAATGGATCAGATGGCTTGGCTTATTATTTCCAACTGACTCTTTTGATAGATAACTCCATGATCCAATTTCCAAGAATGTCTGGTTCAGTTTCTGTGTTCTAAAGTTATATGGCCCAGGGGTCTCCAACCTTGGCAACTTTAATACTTGTGGACTTCAACCCCCAGAATTGAAGTCCAAAAGTCTTAAAGTTGCCAAGGTTGGAGACCCCTGATCTGGACTGTTTTAAATATTAGTAAGGCATCAGGTTGCTTTAGATCAGTGTTCCAACCTGGGAAATCTCCATATATAGTAAATTATACTATTATGAACTATGTAGTTGGCAATTGCTTGTTTTTATAGGCTACATAAAATAGTCTATATAAACAACAGTTTTACTTCTTAATAAGTAGGAAAATAATTCAAAAGAAGAAATTGGAGCAGAGCACAGGCAGCCTCTAAATGTGCAGGTTTTCCCCACACCAACAGGCGTGTCAGTCAAAGTGCCTCGGCGTGTCATGAGTGACACGTGTGTCATAGGTTAAGCCATCACTGTTCTAGAGTAACTTATTTAGTGGATATTTTTATTGTAATAGATAACCTTCACATTTTGGTTAGCAAGCTAGTTAAGTATGAACCTGAATATAAGTGTTGATTGTTAGCTGGCTTAAAACTATGTTCAAATAATGCTCTTCATTAACTTAGAAGGAAGTATCAAATGACACTTCCACTCTGGACATGTATATACTGACATTTTCTATAATGACATAGAGGTGTAAAGGATGCTTATCAAAATTTGATAGGCTAGGTAAAGTAAAGAAAATTCAGAAATATCTTAAAAATTCAAAGAAATTGGTTGGAAACAACAGAATGAAAATTAGTTAATCAAAGCTCTTATTCAGGAAAAAAAAAAACAAATCAAATAGATACCTAAACTGAAAAGGAGGATTCAGGTGGGGGGGGAAATCAGAATGGGACAATGAGGACAAACTGGGGGCTGTCAGCATTTTCTTGATTAACAAGGCAAAAACCCCATGGAAACATGAAATCTGAGAGTAGGTTGTCTATAGCAAAAACATGAGGCCATTATGAAATAATTTCTAGGACTGCTGAATATCAACTGTGAATTCTGTTTATATTAACCTGTGTTCAGATTTTTTTTGCCAAGAAGCAAAACTGTTTTTAGTAGGAGATAACATTTCCATCTGTTTCTTGTTTCACTAATGGCCTGATCTGATATCAAGTTGCTTGCTTTTCATTGAATGAAAACCAAATTTCACAGAGTCTAGAAACTAAGTCTTATCAAGAGGAAAAGTTTTGCTTTGCTTTGAAGAGGAAAAACTAAGAGCTATCACAGATCCCTTCAAATAGCTAAAAGGACCTCACACAGAACATTAATACTGTACTTTATATTTTGTTCTGGATAGGAAGGCATGGAATGCTAGTAACTGATGTTAGAAAAACATTCCTTATGGTCAGGACAGCTTGAAGGTAAAAGTAATTCCCCAGAAGGATAATTTGCTTCCCTACACTGGCAGTGTTGAAGCAAGATATCTTGATTTGGATTAGGATATGGAACCAGGCAATGAGCTAAATGGTACCTTTCAACTGCATGAATTATGAATTTAGCTAAAGATATGCCACGGTTTTATATGGGAATGGCTTTTGGAAAACAAAACTCTAATCAGACGCAATCTCTTTCGAAAAGCTAGAACTTTAGAGAGATTTTTTAAAAATAGAATTGGTCCCATAATGAAATGCAGTCTATAAATAAATGAATGAACAAAGAAAAACAAAAATCAGCCTTTTAAATACTACTCTCAGAATTAACTTAGTGAATATTTTATGAACAAGTTATCCTTGTTGAAAACTTCTTGAAAAGATTTCCGTTGGAAATGTCTGTGTCAGTTTAACAGGGAGAAATGAGAACAGTGCAGGAAAACTGTTTAAGTAATACTAATATGTCACTTAACCAATTCCAAGCCAGATTTTCTTTTTTTCTGCTTTGCAAAGTGATTACAGTATGTTCAGCAATAACACTGAAAATGTCTATCTAATTATGTCTTCACTTTGGCTAAAAACAATTCCACTTTCACAAAGTAAAACACTGGATTTTTTAAAACATAAAATTAGACATTAGATTTCTGATTTATTTGGGATGCTTGTAATTTTTTAAAAAAATATGTATGTTTTCTTATTTATTCTAGCGCTGGAGCTGGCCGAACTGGATGCTATATTGTAATTGACATCATGTTAGACATGGCAGAAAGAGAAGGTGTTGTAGACATCTACAACTGTGTCAAAGCCTTACGTTCACGCCGCATCAACATGGTACAGACAGAGGTATCGTGCTGTTATGAATCAGTGATCCAATTCTCATGTGCATTTTTAGTCATTTGCCTTTAAAAATATTCTGGATCTGGCAAGTTACTAAGCCAAATGTGCAACTGGTTCAAGACCAGCTAAATAAAGAATGTGAAGCAAGAACAAGACAGAACATTTTGTGGAGGTGGGGAAGGAGATAAAACCAACCTTTGTTCATTTCCTTTCCAACCATCCCATCCGTTTCATATATTCCAAAGCTTCTCTCCTTAAAACATTGTATTAAGGGTCATCTATGTGTTTATATATATGCCAGGAATACATTTACACAGAAACTGTGAAGAGAAATAGTTGTTGCATATCAAATTGTAATTACTTTTTACCAATTTTATAGTCCTTTTATTTCTCCGTGTGTTTCTCACTTTTCAGGCAATAGGTTATACTGTATGTCTTATGCTAACACTGCAAAACAGTCATTATTTTTAGATGCAATATAATGTGGGTAAGAGGTTATCTTGGCACCAGTCCAACCGATGTTGAGAGTGTTGCAAAAGCAAGCTCAGCACTGAACTGAACTGAAAGTTGCATCCAACACAAACAAAATAAACTGCTAGCAATACAAACACATCAACTTCATTTTACGTTTTTTTTCTTTTATTTGGAACATATCTTTGGCACTTTATCCTTATTTCCCAGCAATGCGTGTGGTTTTTGTATAGCTAGCTAGAAAAGATTTTGCAAAAATAAAAAAAAAATGTTCCAAATAATGAGATGGGCAGGATACCTCCATTACAAGGCAAGATTATAGCAGTTGGAGCTCTACAGCTTAGAACAAAGGAGCACATAAAAGTGAGATAAAATTACACATGATGTGAATATCACACTTTTTATTCTCTTACCTGTTAAAACTCAAGGTCATCCATTGAAACTGTATACAGAAAAATTTAGGACTAAGAGAAGGAAATAATTTCTCATACTAGACATCCATAAACTACATACTGTGGTTTACAACAGTAGTTGTGAAAATAGCAGCTAATTTGGATGGGGCTCACAGGCAACTGAGCAGATTCAGGGAAAATCAGGTTATCAATAGCCATTAATATTGATGCCTGATCATTACCTCCTAGAGTCTAGGACCTAGACCATGGGCAATACATCATAAATGTTGATTGCTAAGAAGCAATATTGGAAGAATGTTCCAGCAAAAGATGTTCCTATTGGCTACTTTAGGTGCAGAATACTGGACTGGCCTGATTCAGTGGGGCTTCTTACATTGTTAACCAAAACGCCTATGATCCTGTCCTGAAGACTTTAAAATTAAAACAGAAAAAGCACTGAAATTATTATACATTGACACTTAATCATATCAAGTTAATTTTATGATGTATCTCAGGAGGGAAGCACAAACATAAGGAACATATCACAATATCAGACTTCTATAATCAGAATCTATCAGAAATAGACTTTTTCTGTAGTTCTTCCAGGGGTGGGATTCTACCAGTTTGCATCTATTCGCTAGAACCGGTTGTTAACATTCTAAGCAGTTCGGAGAACCAGTTTTTGGAAGAAATTATTGACCTAATCCTGTAAGGAAGACAAGAAGGAAACATTCTGGTGTTGCCTACAGAAACTGCCTCTCTGTTAACCCTTATTACATTCTTGGCAGGACTAGACTTCCTATCTCAAGAACATCTCTAGAGTTTTATTCCCCTCCTTTGTTGGTACTTTGCTTGTGTGGAGTGACCATTCAAAGTTACAATGGCACTGAAAAAAGTGACTTATGACCATTTTTCACACTTACGACTGTTGTAATATCCCCAGTCATGAGAAGCCAGGCGAGGAGATGCGTGCCTCGATGTGAGTGATATTGAGTTGGCCACGCCCAGCCAATAATATGACCACCAAACCATGTCCACCCAGTCACATGACCACCAAGCCATGGCCATCACCTAAGCCATACCCACAGAACCGGTTGTTAAAAAATTTGAATCCCACCCCTGAGTCCTTCTTGACCAATTCTTTCTTTGAGCCTTCCTAAATTGCCTGCACTCTCATTTTTCCCATTTTTTTAGATATGGGGAAAAGAACATAGTTTCTTTCTAGTCAGTGGAATGTCAACAAAAAAGGGACACTATGTATGGCTTACATCATCAGGATTTGCCGAGAAGCACCTTCAGCATTTGTTGAGTTTGCAAATTCTACAGTAATTCTTGATTGGGGAATTTTTCTATTTCTTTTTTTTAAGTAAACTTTATTAATTTTACAGTTAAAACAGACAAACAACACGTACATAATGTGAAAGAGAAAAAAGTACATAATGTGAAAGAGAAAAAAGAACAAAAAAAGAAAAGTAGAAAAAAAGATCAGAAAACAGTTAAAAACACTTTCATCCTCGACAGTTTGTAGGACCTTATTTTCAACCTTATCTTAAACCCTCAATTGATTCTTGTGCGAATATATATATATATATATATATATATATATATATATATATATATATATA